TAGATAAACTGGACTACATAAAAATTTAGAACTTCTGTGTATCAAAAGGCATAATAATCAAAATGAGAAAACAACCCATGGAATGAGAGAAAATGTTTGCAAATTATGTATCTGATGGGTCAATATGCAGAATATATAGATAACTTCTCTAACTTGACTACAAACAACCCAATTTTAAAAAAGGTGAAGAAGGGCTTGAATAGACATTTTTCATAGAGGCTAAACAAATGGCCAGTAAGACATGAAAAGATGCTCGGTATCACTAATCACTGGGGAAATGCAAACCCAAAGTTCAATGAGATACCACTTCACATCCATTAGAAAACTCAGAAAATAACAAGCATTGGCATGGATGGGGAGAAACTGGAGCCCTTGGGCATTGCTGGTGGGAATGTAAAATGGTAGAGTCATTGTGGAAAAAGGTATGGCAAGTCCTCAAAACATTAAACACTGAATTACCCATTGACTTCTTCCCAGCAATTCAACTTCTGGGTATATCCGTATGAACTGAAAGCAGGGTCTTGAAGAAATATTTGCACACCCACATTCACAGCAGCATTACACAATAGCCAAAGGGTGGAAGGAAACCAAGTGTCCATCAAAAGATGAATGGCTAAGCAACCATGGTATAAACATACAATGGGATATTATTCAGCCTTAAAGAGGAAGGAAATTCTGACATGTGCTACCATGAGGATGAACCTTGAGGACATTATATTAATAAGATCAGCCAGTCACAAAAGGAACTCTTATAAGACGCACCTTGGGCAGTCAAGTTCGTAGGAACAGAAAGGGGAGTGGTAGTTCCCAGAGGTGGCAGGGAAGGGGGATAGGGAGTGAGTGTTTCAGTTCTGCAAGACGGAAAGAGTTGATGGACAGATGGGGGTGGTGGTGATGGTTACACAAGATGTGAATGTACTTCACACCACTGAACTGTACACTTAAAAATGGTTAAGATGGTGGGGTGCCTGGGTGTCCCAATCAGTTAAACGTCCAACTTCAGCTCAGGTCATGATCTCACAGTTCGTGAGTTCAAGCCCCAAGTCAGGTTCTGCAGTGACAGCTTGGAGCCTGATTGGGATTCTTTGTCTCCCGCTCTCTCTGCCCCTCCCCCACTCACACTATCTTTGTCTCTCTCAAAATAAATAAATAAACTTAAAAAAATGGGTAAGGGGTGCCAGGGTGGCTCAGTCGGTTAAGTGGCCAACTCTGGCTCAGGTCATGATCTCACAGTTCACAAGTTCAAGCCCCATGTCAGGCTCTGTGTGGACAGCTTGGAGTCTGGAGTTTGCTTTGGATTCTGTGTCTCCCTCTCTCTCTGCCTCTCCCCGGCTTGTGCTCTCTCTCTCAAAAATAAACATTAAAAAAATTTTTTTTAAAAATGGTTAACATGGTGATTTTTAGGTGATGTGTCTTTTACCACAATTGAAAAACAAAAAAGTACACCCTGAATTTGACCACCTCTTACCAGCTCCACTGCTACCTCCCTCGACCATGGCTCTATTGTCCCACGTCCTGACTACTGTAACAGCCTTCCAACTCTGCTTCTGTTTTCGCCACTCTCTAGTCCAGGAGACACAGAATGAGAGCAGTGTGGGTAATTTAACACAGTCTAGGAGCCATATTAAAAAGCGTGAGAGAAATTGGTGAGATAAGTGTTAGCAACATATTTTATTTGATCCAATATAGCCAATATATGATTATTCCAACATAGAATTCATAGAAAAGGTTACTGAGATCTCTTTTCATTGCAAATCTTCAACCTCTGGTGTCTAGTTTATGCTCATGGCATGTTTGGATTTGGACTAGCCGCATTTTAAGGGCTCAAGAGCCACGTGTGGCTTCTGTACTGAGGAGCTGCACCTCTAACCTGTTCCCAACACAAGGCGCCACACTAGTTCTGTGAAAGCATGCACAGATTGTGTCGCTCCTCTGGTCAGAATGTGCTGACAGCTTCCCGTATTACTGAGTCAATGCTAACGTGCTTAGAGTCAAGGCTTCCATGCTCTGGCTTCCTGCCTCCTCTCTAACCTCACTTTCCACACTGGTCTTCGCTTGTCTCTGTAGCCTGTGCCAAGCTCAATCCCACTTCCGGGTCTTTGCACCTGCTATGTCCTCTGCCTCCAACACTCTTTCCCCAGATACTTCATGGCTTGTTCCCTTCTTTCAAGCTTCTGCTTAAATGCCATGTGATTGGAGCTCCTCCTTTGTTTGCTTATTGTCTGTTTCTCTCATTAGAATATGAACTTTGTCTAATCTGTTCACTGCTCTATTCCCAGTGCATAGAATAGCACCTGGCACCTGATAGAAATGCAATAAAAATGTGTTGGATGAATGATGACCATTTAGAAGGGGCCAGGGGCCTGTGCTTACTCTGGCCCGGCAGCCCTGTCCTTTGTGGTGCTGGGCCTCATGAAGGCAGCTCAACATGCTTGCTCATGTCCCTTTCCACTCAACCTAAACTTACTCTTCCCTTGAAATCCCAGATCAAGCCCAACTTCCTCTAAGAAACCTTTCTGAATGTTTCTAATGAACAGGTTCTGTCTGGCCCCTTCCCATCCATTCCTTACCTGCTTAATAACTTACTGAGCATTGATTACAGGGGTGGAAAATTTAAAGGTCTCTGTGGGCCAGACCAGGTGGGGGCTCTAGGGAGCTGAAGGCCATGTGCTACCTCTTGGCTCCAATGCCACCTGGTGGGAATGTGAGCGCTGTCACACCAGGGCCGCAGATTTTTCCAGAGAAGCCAAATATGTGGATTTTTATATGGACTCTTCTAGTCTTGAAGTGTTTTCACAAACTCAGATTGACCCACAGCACACACATCTTGTCATACCAGGAAGCAGGCAAAAATAACCAGGGTTGTGTCAAAAGGGCGCAAATGTGAACCTCAGTGGGCTCTCTCTGGTCACAGATGGACTGAGGATAATAACTGTCATGGATTGAAACATATCAAGGCGCCCAAATCTGTAAGTTCATAATTACACTACAAAATAGACATAACAAATGACATGATCACATCTGGAGGATGCTAGGGAACTGACTCATCATTTGAAAAACTGGTGAATAAAAAAAAGGAAGGCTACAAGGTTTACTCTGCCTTTCCTATGCGAACTGTGCCTCAAGTAACTAGGTAGTTGATGAGGGGGCTCCTCTCAATATGGAAGTATTCCAGCTAATAAACAGAAGGAATGGTAGTAGTAGAGTGCCACCATCTTGCAATCCCTGATGAGTTACCAGATCTATACAGGGCTCGACAGTGACTGATAATGGCACATAACACAATGACCAGGTATTAATATAGCTCTTGGTGGAAGTATGTAGCTCCTCAATCACCCCACGTACAAGTAGATCTGCCCCCTAAACACACAAACAACTGAACCTGAATCTGATCTGGATCTCACTATCCAACTACCAACTGACAGAAAATAGGGGACAAAGGGACACATCAGGAAAAGCACAAATGACCCAATTCCTTCAACAAAACACTGCAAGAAAAATGAGAGAGCAGAAGTCTACAGATAAAAAGGAATTTAAGAGACGTATCAATTGATCGCATGTGACCTATCTGTACTTCAACGCAAACGATCGAATAGTAAAAAGTTTGGGGAAACGTGAATACAAATGCAGTTGACCACTGAGCAACACGAGTTCCAACTGCACGGCCTCACTCACACACGGATCTTTTGGATAAATACAGTATTGTAAATGTATTCTCCTTTCCTTATGATCCTCCTCGTCTTCCTCTTTTTTTTTTTTTTTAAAGGTTTTACTTTTAAATAATCTCTATCCCAACGTGGGGCTCAAACTCACAACCCTGAGATCAAATTGCATGCTCCAACAACTGGGCCAGCCAGGCGCCCCTCCTTATGATCTTAATGACACTTTCTTTTCTCTTATGTTATTGTAAAAATGCAGTATATAATACATATGTAGATAACATACAAAGCATATGTTAATCAACTGTTTATGTTATTTGTAAGGCATCTAGTCAACAATAGGCTGTTAGTAGTTAAGTTTTTGAGGAGTCAAAGGTTATACGTGGATTTCTGACTGTGTGAGGGGTCAATGCCCCTAACCTTTGCATTGTTCAAGGTTCAACTGTCTTTGTTTTTTTTTTTATGTTTATTTATTTTCAAGAGAGTGCCAGAGAGAGAGAGAGAGAGACGGGGACAGAGGATCCGAAGCAGGCTCTGCACTGACAGCAGTGAGCCTGATATGGGGCCTGACCCCACGGACCGTGAGATCATGACCTGAGCCGAAGTTGGGACACTCAACCAACTGAGCAACTCAGGCGCCCCTCAACTGTCTTTGATATTAAGGAATTATTGTTAATTTTGTTGGTGTAATAATGATATTGAAGGTAAGTCTTTAAAAAGGAGGCCTTGGGCACCTGGGTGGCTCAGTTGGTTAAGCACCTGACTCTTGATTTTGGCTCAGGTCATGATCTCATGGTTTGTGAGTTTGAGCCCCACATCATGCTCTGTGCTGACAGCATGGTACCTGCTTGGGATTCTTTCTTTCCCCCACTTTCTGCCTCTCCCCCACTCGCAATCTCTCTCAAAATAAATAAACTTAAAAAAATAAAAATAGATGAAAAGGAGGTCTCTCCCTGTAAAAATCCCTGAAAGATTGACAGAAGAATACCAGTAAATAAACCCATGCTGGATAGGCCTTGATAGTGTAGCAAAAGTTCCTCACGGATGGAAATGAGGTTGGCTGGTCAAGCCAGGGAAGGTTTCTTATGTGGAATGGGACTTGGCGCAGACAGGTGAGGCTCAGAGGACTGGGGGGTGTGGTGGGGTGCAGAGAGGCCTGTGAGGTCAGGCAGTGTGTGGCTGGGATACCGGGATGGGTGCTAGATTAGGCTCTCCATCCTGCACCCAGAGGGTGCCCTCCCCACCTGAGGCCACAACAGGCACCATAAGATCAGACTCCAGCATGGAGGCCCTGGCCCTGGCCCCGATCCCCACCTCACAGCTCCCAAGGGGCCCTCTTACCTCTGGGGCCGGCTCCACAGTGCTGGCTTTTCTTCCCACTCCACTGCCGCCCGGCTGCTTGGATGGCATCTTCTGGAGGAAGTCAGAGATCCTCTGAACTAAAAAATCACGGTCTTTCAGGTTGGCGAACAAGAAGGTCATTTTGCTCTTGGTGCTAATGGACAGAGGACTGGGCAGGACACTGGAGCTGTCAGCTTTTTCAACAATAGTCACCTGAGAAGGCAAAAAAAAAAAACAAACCCCAACCTATTAGGCATCTGTGTCTTGGGATAGAAAGCTGAACAGTTTTGTACGTCTGAGACACAGCGGCCTCACCTAGTTCTCTCCTGGCCAGGGCGCTGTGAGGGGTCAGGGGAACTCTCTGGGCCCCACTGCATCCATATGTGGACTCTGCTGCTTGCTAACATGTGACTCTGAGCAAGTTACATGCACATCTAAGCCTTGTTTCCCCCAGTTGATGCGGACGCGAGCATATCAGCCTTGCAGGGCTGTCATGAGAATGATGATGCAGAATGAAAGGTGCTCAGCCCAGCTGCTGGTCCATTTGATTTCCCAAAGATGTCCGGTTACTCTCTTACTCTAAAGCACAGTGAGTGGCCCTGCTTGCACTTGCTGACAGTGTGTCCTGGGTCCAGCTCTGACCTTGAGGCGTGTGGACAGAGCATCACAGGTGTGGAAGGTGCAAAAAGGACTTTGAAGGGATGCCTCTGCAGAGCCTGCAGCCCAGGGGCTGGACTATGGACATGTAGGTGAAGCATAGTTCTCACAGGTGAGTAGGGACCAAAGGGTGAGCTAGGACTCCATCAGGCTGCTTCGTGCTGAAGGCACCTCCAGGGAGGTACAGGGAGGTAGCAACTGAGGTTGAGAACTGGTAGAGCCAGGGGAGGAACTGGGGCAGACATCAGGGCAGAATTCCCAGCGAACACCCTGAGGAAGGGATGGGACCAGCTTGACAAACAAGGAAAGGCTGGAGAAGCTGGGGCAAGAGTGAGGACGAGAGGGATGTGTGAGTGTGTATTATGTGTGCATGTGTATGTATGTGTGCAAATGTACGTGTAGGAGTGCACACATGTGTTATGGTGTGTATTTATGTATGTATGTATGTGTAGGTATGTGCATGAATGCATATAGGGGTGGTAATGTGTACATGTATCTACATGCGTGCAAGATGTGTGTGAGCGTGTGCGTGTGTGTGGTATATGTGCAGATGCATGTGGGTGTGTGTATGGTGTGTGTATATGTGGATAAGTATGTGTGCAGATGCATATGAGTGTGTGTTTGTGTGTGTGAGCACATCTGCATGCATGTAAGCTAAGACCTAAAAAGGAGTGAATGGTTCACTAAAGGTCCACAGGTCACAGCAGGCAGCTGGGGACTCTTCTAATCACAGGAGATGCTGGACGAGCCGGGGCAGGGCACTGACATGCTGTGGGAGGAGGGGACTAATGGGGTTCAGTGCAGGCAGCACCCTCCTGAGGAGGTGGCTGTGGAGAGGAAGGGACGTGCTATGGTTGGGATGCGGGAACAAGGCCAGGTCAGGAGCAAGGACGGCTCCTGCTTCTGAGCTGAGCAGATGGACGGATGGACGGAATGCTGCTTCCCAAGGCTGCAACAGGAAGAGCATGTTTGGAGGGTGGGTGCAGAGTCAAGAGCCTACTGGGTGTGGGCACACAGCATGCTCTGAGTGGAAGGCCCTGTGAAGTGCCCTGGTGGGTGCAAGGAGGATCATCAGCACCAGGCCGGGTCTGTCCAGACTAGCTGCGGGGCCAGTCCCATCCCAAGAGCCCCAGACAGTCTGCCCCCGCCTCAGCCAGAGCTCTCTGCCATCAGAAATGGCAGGATCAGGGGTGTCTGGGTGGCTCAGTTAATAGACCAATTCTCAGTTTTGGCTCAGGTCATGATTTCATAGCTCATGATTTTGAGGCCCACCTCAGGCTCTGCACTGACAGAGTGGAACCTGCTTGGGATTCTGTTTCTCTCTTTCAAAATAAAAAGTAAAACTTAAAAAAGAAAAAAAAGGTAGGATCATCAGGAGAAATAGAGCTGAGGCCTAAGGAGACCTCTGCACCCACCCCAGGTCTCAGGGCCAGGTCAGCACAGCGCCCAGGATAGACTCACGGGCCCAGTGCAAAAAGGGAACATGGGGTTAGGGGCTACCTGAGCCTTGAGCTTCTGGCTCTTTTGAGTCCTTTGCCTCTGACTTCCCTTGGGGAAACGAGGCGGCACATAGAACCCCCCACCCCTGCTCATAGCTGCACCTACAGTTTGAGTGCGTTGTACAAATGCAGGGAGGTGTCACTGTTCTGGGTTTTTAATAAAATCAAGATACTGTGATTTGGGTTATAACTGAAGAACCTTACTGGGCTTCATAGAGTTGAACAGCCCGCCTGTTCTGCTGGGCCATGAGGAAGAGGAGGCCTGGGAACCTGCTGTGACTGTGGGGTCAGTGCTTTCCATCTGGGCAGGGGCCCTCTCCCTCACTTTCTACACCCTTCACAGCAGCACAGAACAAATGGCCTTGCCTTCAAGGTCCCTGTGGAAGCCTAAGAGACCTGAGAAAAAACACTTCCGACAGGTGAGAGCTGTCCCATCCCTGACAGGTGAAAGCTGACCCTTATCTGTGACAGGTGAGAGCTGCCCCCATCCCTGACAGGTGACAGTGGACTTCCAGCCCTGCTGGAGCCAGAGTCACAGCCAAGGCAAGTGTTGGGAGAGGAACAGTGAGATGGCCTCCAAGAGTGACATGGTGGGGTTGGTGAGGGTCCAGAGTCCTCCAAGCCCAGCCAAGACAGGACTTTGCTCAAGTCCAAGTGCAGGGCCAGGAAGGCAGGACTTGGGGACACTCACCTGCTGGACACCACTGGGATTTGACTGGAGAGGCACAGGACTTTCCTGAAGTTACCTCATGTCCCAGTGTGAGTGCTTCTGGCATGCCAAACCCCACCCTGCTCCCCAGCAGTCAAGGGGGTCCCTGAGGGAACCTGGCAGCTGGAGGGGCCTGGCCCCAGTGCAGGGGCTCAGGGAAGTTGCTGACTTGCTCTGTACCCTCCGCAGGCCTGCCACCAGATGTCGTGGAGCTGGCATGGCACTGGGGGCTCACCTCCCGGAGGGGTATGATGAGGTGGCATGCGTCCTCCTCTTTGCTGGCAAAGCAGATGTAGTTGCTGGAGATGAACATCTGGCCAGGGATGTGCAGTTTGTTGAACGGGGTCCACAGCGTACAGCCTGTGTGGCCATCCAGGCGCTCGTCCCTGGGCAGCCGGAACGTGGCCCGGTAGCACTCGTTCTTGGCTCGGGCATCCAGGTCTCTGGGAAACCAAGGTGGGGTGGAGGAAAGGAGATAAGAGTGAGGACACGATATGCCCGCAAGGGGATCTCAGAGCCTTGGTTTCCACACGGGATTGGGCTCTTTGGGGTCATGCCCCAGGGAACTTGGAATTCAATAAAACACACACAGCAGATGGCCATGTACCACGGGAGACATCTGCATGACCAGCAGAGGACATGTATGCAGCACACAGTGTGCCTTTGGGCTGCAAGGGCTCTGGAGGACACCCACAGCTTGACAGGGCTTCACACGTTGCTTGCTCAGTGCTGAGGATGGACAGGGCCCCAGTGCCCGGGGGTTCCCCACACCTGCCCTGCATGCCTCTGCCCCAAGGCTGCTACTTCTACCAGGGAACACCCAGCCCCACCCAAACACCCAGAGGAGGACTCCCCAAGATGTCCTATTGATGAATGCAAGGGTATGCTCACTTATCTGATGGCCATGTGAAGTGGCTGCCTGGCACCCTGGTCCTGGCCCCTTTGGTGGCTCTTTCCTTGGAAATATCTTTCTCCTGAGCCCCCCGGGGGAGAGGGGGCTGCCAGCAGCCTGAGCAAGGCCTGGCAGGCATACCCTGATGGACAGTGTCAAGTCCTGGCCCTGCTTGTTTCCTTTCTGGAAGGTTCCAGCAGCAACCCCATCACTCACATATGGAGAGTGACATCCTTGGATGGACATGCTGGTCCTGAAGGTGTACCTCACGGTCTGGGCCAAGGCCATGGTCTCTGGGGGCAACCCAGGAAACAGCCAGGCGGGGATGAGGTCTTGGTACACAGGTATGAATCCGGGAACCCCTGAGCTCCCGGCCAGTCATGCGGGTTCGCAGCTACAATTGAGGAACACAACGGTAGTGCTCCGGGGAGGAGGGCCAGCCATCATTACTGTCTACCAATCGCCAGCATACGAGCCCCTCCACCTCACAGGGCTTTGAGAAGTAACTCTTTGTGGTTAGTAGTAGCTATTTTTGGATGGCACCTCTGTGGACCTCATGGTGTCCTCCTGTCCCAAATACACCCCGAGAGGGGAGCGGGTCCCTCCCACCCCAGAGGGCCACTCACCGCTTCAGAGCCGAGATGTTCCTGTGTGGCCGGGAAGGCCGGGGCAGTGCCTTGTCCTCCAGGAAGCCCTCACTGTCCAGCAGCTGCCGCATGGCCAGGTTGGCCAGCTGCTCCATGAGCTTGAAGGTCTCACCGATGTTCAGGAACATGGAAAAGAAGAGCTCCTGGTCCCGGGTGTCCACACGGATGCTCTCGGGGAAGAGCAGTGTGGCATTCTTCTCCAGCCTTGTGACGTCTACCCATTGCACCACAAGGCTCACTGCATGCCCGCAGGACAGATACACCAGTGGGTCAGACGGGCCCGGAGGGCTGGACAGCACGTGCACCCACTGGGACAGCCGCTCCCCAGGGAATCACTGACTGTGTGTCCCCCATGCCTGAGCCTGGTTGTGCTGGGACATGTGATCCACATGGAGGGAGCGGCCCCAAGAATATCTGGGGTGACTATGTGTCCCACAAATGATTGAAGGGTAACACAGATGAACATGGGAAGTGAGCTGAGACCCTGGTCCAGAGAAGCCCACCTAGTGGGAGTGTGCTGACAGAGGGGACGTTGACCCCTGCCTGGTGAGGAGGTGGGAGGGGCGGGGTGGAGAGGGAAGAAGGGCAGGTGGAAGGGTGTGTCAGATGTGTGCCTGGTGGGACAAGGCCTTGCTGGGCTCAGGAGGGCTGGAGCCCTGGGAGCTCTTTCCTGGGGTGATGTAGCAGCAGAGGGCGCCAGCCTTGTGTCCGGAGGCAGGGAGGGTCCTGCAGCAACAAGGCACCCCATAACCCAGAGCCACTCAGGGATGGCAGGTGCCCTTGGATATTCCACTTAAAGGAGAGAAGGGAGCCCCCGTGCAGTCACTCTGTGAGGAACCACGTCGATGGATGGAGGTGGGATGGGGAGCCCCCAAGAGCCAGGTGCAGACCTAGCTCGAGTCTGGGCCTCCCTACCGAGAGCCGGTGAGGTGCACTGGGTTTCGGGGAGATCCTCTGGTGTGTGTGTGGGGACAGAGCATCTGGGAGCCGAGAGGAAGGAAGGCACTCAGGAACCCGAGCGGTCTGGAGAGGTGGTGAGTTTTCTGGGGTGGGGAGGCAGTGGGGAGAGAAGCTGAGGATGACGGGCCTGCCTGCCGCACTCACCTTCCTTCCCCAGCAGGAACGAGTAGAAGCACAGGTGGTTGACGGTCAGGTAGAGCCAGCCCTGCCGGGGCACGCGACCTTTCCAGTAGCTGCAGGAGTAGTAGTTGACCAACTTCTCCCCCTCTGGCATCCCGAACTGCTTCCGCATCTTCAGCTCGGCCTCCTTGAACTTTCCGGGGTCCTCGTCTCCCTGGGGCTGCAGGTTCTTGTTCTCTTCTGCGATGATGCCCTGGAGGAGGACAAGGGAACTGACTCCTGGCCTGCCCAGGGGTTTCTGTGGCCCCAGGGAACCCAGGCAGTGGGACCCAGGACTCTCATTCACTGGCCCCAGGGCCACAAGCATGGGAGGCCCAGTGGGCAAGGCTGGGGCACACGGTTGGACAGACAGACCCCAGGCAGATGCCCTCAACTCCCTGAGCTAATAATACTTCTAGCATGGCTGGCTTGAAGTAGTGACTTTAAAGATAAACATTTCTTCTTCTTTTTTTATTTTTTGAGAGAGAGAGAGAGAGCGTGCGCATGTGTGCACGTGCACGGGAACAGGGAGGGGGAGAATCCCAAGCAGGCTTGGTGCTGTCAGTACAGAGCCCGATATGGGGTGGGGGGGGGGGGCTCAATCCCATGACCCTGGGATCATGACCTGAGCTGAAACCAAGAGTCAGACGCTCAACTGACTGAGCTACCCAGACACCCCTAAACTCCTGAATTGCTTGGCTTAAAGCTTTTTAGGGTATTTCTCTCTCCTTTTTAAAACTCTGCTTTTTTAGGGGCACCTGGATGGCTCAGTCGGTTGAGTGTCTGTCCAACTTTGGCTCAGGTCATGACCTCATGATTTGTGAGTTCAAGACTGCATTGGGCTCTGTGCTGACAGCTCAGAGCCTAGAGCCTGCTTTAGATTGTGTGTGTGTCTGTGTGTGTGTGTGTGTCTGTGTGTGTGTGTGCTGCTCCCCTACTCATGCTGTCTCTCTCTTAAAAATAAACATTACAAAAAATAAAAAAAAACAACTCTGCTTTTTTATAGATGGTTCTCATATTTCATTCTTTTCATTGCTTATTTGAGGTTTCTAGCTTTGGTCCTGGATCCCTTTTGCCACAGGTTTATGTCTTAGCTGGTTTTCAGGAAGTGTTGCCTTTCTGCATTGTTCCTTTGTTTCCTATGCAGTTAACTTCTGCCCTTTGTGATTTCCTTCAAATTTCCTGATTTCTTGAGTCAGAAATGCTAACTTACTGAACTGGATGCCTGGCTCATTAGTTTCCACCTTTTCTTTTTCTTCTCATAAGATTTAGGGCTTCAGATGTTCTGTGTACTGTTTTTGCTGCAGTCCACAAATTCGGATATGCAGTATTTTGACAATCATTCAGTTCTAAGTATTTTCTTTTTTAAAACATTTCTTAAGTAGGCTCCATACCCAGTGTGAAGTCCAGTGTGGGGGCCTGAACTCACCACTCTGAGATCAAGACCTGAGCTGAGATGAAGAATCTGATGCTTAATCGGCTGAGCCACCCAGGCACCCGAGTTCTAAATATTTTTTAATATGCATTTCTTCTTTAACCCATGAGTCATTGAGAAATTTTGTTCTGTTTTGTTGGTTAGTTTGTTTGGGTCTGGCATGGAGGAAACATTTAATAATGTTGCTGCTTCATCATCATCAATATTCTTATTTTTAAGCTTATTTATTTACTTTTGAGAGATACAGAGATAGCATGAGTTGGGAAGGGGCAGAGAGACAGGGAGGGAGAGAGAGAATCCCAAGCAGGCTCTGCACTGCCAGCACAGAGTTTAATACAGGGCTTAAACCCACAAAGCTGAGAGATCATGATGTGAGATGAAACCAAGAGCTGGATGCTTAGCCAACAAGAGCCACCCAGGTGCCTCCATTATTATTATTAAGTTAAGCTCCACTCACAATGTAGAGCTTGAACTCACATCCCCAAGGGATCAAGAGTCGGGTGCTCTACCGACTGAGCCAGTCATTATTGTTATTATTATTATTGCCCAGCTTGCTCATTAGGAGAATAGAGACTTGCCTCTGCCCTCCTTGCCTTTCTTCGTGCAGCTAGAAAGGCAATGCAGGTCTTACTCTGAACCCCAAAGCACACGGGGAAGAGCCGAGGAACTATTGGTGTCATCTGCCCAGGTCTGGAAAGTTCTGGCATAAAGAAGTCACAGGGCCTGCTCAAAGCAACTATGCACCGCGAAACTTTGACTCAGTAAGAACCCCCAAGAAATCTAACTGAAGGCAAAATAACTGAACAAAAAGAAGACACACATGAGCATGCGCTTAGGTAGATGTTCCTTACAGTGTTAACTGCCCCCCTGGAAAAGGAAACAACCCAACTATCATTGCATCAGTTTTTATGCATATTCCACTAAGTATAACATATATGACCTAACCAGTCCCCTGACATAAAGCGCTCAGTACGGTACTCCATAAATGCTACGCTAGCAAGAAGTACCGCTCTCATTTTGCAGAACAGATAGCAGCTGCTTCCCCTCCTACCATAGGCTGGAAGGTGCCGTTTCCAGTCTTTCTGCTGACAGTGCTGCAGAGTATGTGTTATTCTGCACGTATGACGACACCATATGGTAAATTCCAAGGAAGGGAATCACTGGGTCAGAGGGTGCACACATTTTTAAGTAGTGTTCGTTTTGTAAATGAGACATGCCTCCAACTATTCTATCACTTCCATCTTCTTCCTGTTACGGTGGCTAAGGCATTGGCCATGAGAGCTGCTCCTCTGTGGGGAATGGAAACTCCCAGCTAAGCTTGGTCAGACTCCTGCAGCTGGCCGGGAGAAGCAGGGACCCGTGTGGCAAGTTCAAATGCCCCTTTCAAGACTGAGAGAACAGGAGTGAACACTGCCTTCCATTTCTAGTAAACAGAGAGAAGACCTAACCACACTGTTTGGAGGTTAAATAAGATGATACAGGTGAACCTGCCAGCCCAGAGCAGGAGCAGGAGCCAGTGGTGGAAGTTGAACCTTACGTGTATCTTGCCCTTGACGAAGGTGGTGATATCTTCCTCATTGTCAAAGATGGACAGCGTCTGGAGTAAGTTATTTTCCAGCCATTCCCAGTGCTTTGTGATCTCTTTGCGGGAAGAACCTAAGGAAGGTTTGGTGGAGTAAAAAAGAGGAAAATCATTAAAATCACCAGGCCTTAACCATAAATTCAGAGACTAAAACAGATGACCTAATTTGCTATATCCAAAAGACTCCAATCTTCAGGCTGCTAACTCTTTTCCTACTTAAACTTTACGTACAAGGGTGCCTGGGTGGCTCAGTCAGTTAAGTGCCCGACTTTGGCTTAAGTCATGATCTCGTGGGTCGTGAGTTCGAGCCCCACATTAGGCTCTGGGCTGACAGCTCAGAGACTGAAGCCTGCTTTGGATTCTGTGTCTCCCTCTCTCTCTGCCCTTCCCCTGTCCTCACTCTGTCTCTCTCTCAAAATTAAATAAACATTAAAAAAACCCCACAACTTTACATACATAACAGCAGTCATGAACACGAAAAATGGTTCAGGCAGAATTGTAGAGAGTCATGTGGAACATAAAGCCTCCATTTCCCCTAACACCAAGTAAGAGTCACCACTAGCTTCCTACATGCCCTTCCAGAAATAGTCTATAGATCTGCAGGTTTGCTTAGTTGTAAAGATTTCCCTTCCAGATAAAAGGACTTGATGTGGTCTTTGATATATAGGTGATTGACCAGACAGTCAGACTTGCAAGTGCCAGCAGTTTCAGGAGCATTCAGGTGTCCACAGATGGCGGCTGGATGGAGCTTCCTGTAGGACTCCAGGCCCCTGGCCAGCTGGTCTTCTGTGGGGCAAGCCAGAGGCTCTCGCCTGCTCTCTCTGAAGCCAGAGGCACCCACCCAGGCCTTTGCCTGCAAGGTCCTCCTCACCACCACTGTTCACACCCAAGCCCTTCTCCTGCCCCCTCCTGACCCCTGCAGCTTCTGGCTAGTCCCCAGTTTCAGCCTGCCTAGGAGGTAGTCCCTTCTCTCCTCAGGGAAGGGTTCTGGAGGGCACAGCAGCTCCAGTGGTAATGGAAAAACTTAGGGCAGTTTTAATGCCGCTCCTGAAGGGTGGGGCAGCTGTTTTCTCTGCCCCCTCTCCCCAACTGAAGGAACTGGGAGGGGAAGCAAAGGGATGACAGGAGTCTCTGCCTGGCTTCCCCTACCTCTTTGGGATTTTGCCTGTGCCTGGCAGGGAATTTCACTCAAGAACTGTTTTCTTTCTCTTTTCTTTTTTTAAGATTTTAAATTTGATTTATTTGGAGAAAGAGAGAGGGGCACGTGTGCAAGCAGGGAAGGGTCAGAGAGGGAGGGAGAGAGAGAATCCCAAGCAGGCTCTGCACTGTTGGTACAGAGCCTGACACGGGGCTCAAACTCATGAAACTGTGAGATCATGACCTGAGCTGAAACCAAGGGTTGGATGCTTAACTGACTGAGCCACCCAGGCGCCCCTCAGGAACCGTTTTCTGAATGAATGAACACCAGAAGAGTGAAAGCCCTGCATCCTTCTCAGCTGATCAGTTTATGGACTGTGAGTGCCCGTGGTAAGGCCCACAGATTAGGCATGGAGGGAGCCTGAGTAAAGACCCAAGTCCAATTTTTGCTGGGTGCCTGATTCTCTGCCATCCCATCCTTCCCTACCTATCAACAACCTTCCACCAGCTGAAGACTCAATCCTGACCCTGCCCTGGCCAGGCCAAGTTGGTCCCTACCATCAACTCTGTCCCAGGCATCTCGCTCACTGATTGCTCTGGGACATGTCACAACCCAGCTGGCCTTGGTTAAGGTTGATTGTTCCTTTACATTTACCCAAGGAGTTCACTACTCTAGCAATCAATACTGAGTTAAGACCCTTCCCCTCTCCCGTGGGCCAGTGTGAAGATGCCCACGTGAAGGCAATTAAACCCAGATTCATACAACTGTCAGTGAGTCACAACAGACAATCAAAATTACAGGCATAATTCCACCCACAATTTCCTTCTTCTCCCCCCGTTTTTCCTTTGGACTTCTTTTATGGCCTCCTTTCCCTGGTGCACAGAGGCCAAGGTCTTGTTGGTAGGAGAAGGGATTTCTCTTTCTCTCTCTCTCTCTTTTTGCCAAGAACCTGCATTTGAATTTTGAAGTTAAATTTGCAAGTGATACAGCTCTAGAGTCATTGTCTTTCATGCACACATTCCTGGCAACCTCAAACAGAAGAAATCTTGTCCACACTGTCCACTGTGTGGATCTGTCTGCACTTTGAGTATAAATATTTACCTATATGCATTCAAAAGATTTATCAGTTAGAAGTAACTCAATCTTCCCTTATCACTAAGTAAACACAAACTATGCCATCTTTATGTTAGGTTCAGAGAATAAAAAAGATAGCTAATCATTATTAAGTGCTACTTCTGTTTTCAGAACTTCTCATGGAATATCTTATTTTCTTCTTAGAGAACCTTGGAGACAGTACCATTATTTTTGTTTTATAGGATGGAGGTGAGGCACAGAGAGGTTAAGTGAGTTGTCCAGTGTCACACAGCTGAGATGTGACCAAACCATGGTCCTAGCCCAGGCTGACTGGTTGCTCAGACTCTACCCTTGCCCTTAGGGAGCTGCCAGTCTAGGGTAAGAGCCAGTGAGCCCTTAGTGTGAAAGTGCTGATAAAAGTACCCCAAACATGGTGAGTCTGGAGTAGCAAGAAGGAAAAAGTGGATACCTGGGTCTGGGGAATCTGGTTTTCCATAGGAGCTGACACTGGGCGGGTTCTCAACAGAGTGCAAGGTTAGGTGGATGTGGGGGGGACACTACACATTGGCCAGGACAGGTGTGTCTGGTCTGGCTGAAGGCCAGTTGTGAGATGAGGGAAGGACAGAAATGGAGGCAGGCTGGCCCCAAAAGTCCTTTAATGGAAAGCTAAGGAGTCAGGATTCACTGGGCAGGTGTCAGCATGACCGTGTCTGGTTTTGCAGAGCTGAAGAGGAAGGAGGGAGGCACAGCAGAGGTCAGAGCAGGCTTGGGGGGTGTGGTAGAAGCAGGAGTAGGTCAGTGTGTGGCCTGAGGCTAAAGACTAAGGCTCCCCAGCACCAGGCCCTGCTAGTTCCCACACTGCCACAAGCATGGCCTTCCTCTCACTGCCATGGATTGTCTCTTCCTCATCTGCTGAGAAGGAACATTGCTGAGACAAGGGAAAATCTCAAGGGCCCATTTTATTAAAAAAATTAAAAAAAAATTTTTTTTCTTAACATTTATTTATTTTTGAGACAGAGAGAGACAGAGCATGAACAGGGGAGGATCAGAGAGAGAGAGGGAGACACAGAATGTGAAACAGGCTTCAGGCTTTGAGCTGTCAGCACAGAGCTCAACGCGGGGCTGGA